TTCTCTCAACTTCTTGCATTTCACTACATACCTACTCCTAAGGCTATCTATAGGGGACCCCTGCAAGCATAGCTACCTCTCACTGTGAAGGGGATATTGCATGTTGCCCCTTTATCTAACCGAAAAGATAAGGGTTTTTTTTTTTTTTTTTTTTTTTTTTTTTTTTTTTTTTTTAACTTGCAATTCCCAATCAGAATAGAAAAGAGGCCGGGGACCTCACAAATCAACCCGGAGTTATCCCGGCAGCATCAGCCGGTTTCGCTTACAGCCATCAGGGCTGGGAATCCTTCCAACCATTCAAATTTTGCCACAAACAAATATCACCAACTTGTAAGACACCGCAAAATCTTAGGTTCGCTTGCCGCAAAATCTTAGGTTCGCTTGCTTCTTCATACTGTTCACTCAATCCTACTGTAGTTAGTGTAACCAAACGCTGTGGTCTACCTTACCCTATCCTACGACTACTACAAGACTGTTCTACTCAACCCACACATCCTACACCAGATACGTTGTATTACAGTCATTATCAGGGTGCGTTATGTACGGAGGAAAAAATGACGGTAGGCTGCTTGGAAAGTACGAAGGTTGTCACACGTGAAGGGTTATAGTGTGGACTTTTCCTTTTTCTTGTTTCTCTTATTTAATTGATTGATTCCGTATTGAATTCATGCGTTGGAGGTTTCCTCGGAGTCCCTCCTCCGTCTTTTTCCTTCCTTCTCCTGTCTGCCTTCTTCCCCAGATGGAAATTTGGCTGGCGAGGGTATTCCGTTACCCACCGTTAGCCACCCTGTCTGTCGTCTCCCGCGAGGAGAGGGGGGGGCAAAAGGCCGTTCTCCGCGTGCTGGGGGAGGGGGGGAGAATGTCTGGGAGGATGTATCCGAAACCATCCCGCTCCCCCAGACTCCTGCGCGGAGGATGTATCGGAAAGCATCCCGCGGATAAAGTGGCGGTATCCCCCCCCAACGAGTGTTCCATGGAGGATGTACCCCAAGCCATTCCGCGAAAGGAGATGAGTAAAATATTACAACTGAATTACCTCGGGCCGGTCAGTTCCCTGGTTTCTTATATCTCAAGGCCGTTGCCGTTTATTAACAAAAAAAATCACATTTCACAATCAGAAAAAGACCATCTCACACAGACTGGGATTCCGCCCGCCCACCGTGGGCCCTGTCCCAACGCGTCCTGTGTCAGCCCGACACCAGTGGTCTCCAGCGACGCTTCGTTCATCGTTCTGTTAATCCATTCAAACGGCGGCGGTAATCCGTCGTTAAAATGGCGCGAAATTCTGAGTTCAAACAGCTGTTTGAGGAATTCATCGACAGATTGCCTTCGGAAAACGGCGGGTAATCCGTCGTTAAAATGGCGCGAAATTCTGAGTTCAAACAGCTGTTTGAGGGATTGATCGACAGATTGCCTTCGGAAAACGGCGGGTAATCCTGAGCTCAAAATGGCGCGAAATTCTGAGTTCAAACAGCTGTTTGAGGGATTGATTGACAGATTGCCTTCGGAAAACGGCGGGTAATCCGTCGTTAAAATGGCGCGAAATTCTGAGTTCAAACTGCTGTTTGAGGGATTGATTGACAGATTGTCTTCGGAAAACGGCGGGTAATCCTTCTTGGTCGATTAATCACCCCACTCTGCTGGTGCGTTGCGTTCTATCTTTTCGTCTGAGCGGGATTCGTCCTGTCGTCTCTTTCCGTTTATTATAATATAACGATTCTCCCATATACTTTTTCAGTCAGTTCATTCACCCATTTAG